GAATGCAACCAAGAGATGGACTTACCATCATTCACAGAAGCCATCACTCGTTCATTAAACCAATCAAGAGAGCAAACAACCTTACCGATTAACCAAACTACATTCAATGCCGAATATGAGCGACTTCGGGCTATTCGCCGGCGTGCTGAGAGGCGAGTTAGAAAGCATAAAAGGCCCGAGGATTTACGTGAGTTCCGACGAGTAACTAAAAAAATCAAACGTCATTTGAACAAACTTGCAAAACGTCGTTGGCGGAAAATGTGCTCAGAACTTGATCCAAGGAAACGTACTACGAGAATATGGCAAATATCAAGAGGTCTTCGAGCAACACCGCAAGAACGTTATCCGTTTCGGGCACTAGCTCTATCGATGCAGTGTTCAGATATAGAGGCCGCGAATCAGTTCTGTATACGAATTACGCAGGCGCAGTCTACACACACAAGCACACCGAACACGCCACGGCCGACACCACCGTCAACTCTGTCATGCATGGACGTTGATTTCTCTCTGAACGAACTCGAATCTGCTCTTGCATCATGTAGGCAGTCAAGCTCACCTGGACCAGATGGTGTTACCTACTCGGCAATTGCACGACTCGGACCAAGTACAATCAAATGCCTTCTTCGACTCTTCAACCAATCCTGGAACGAAGACGAGGTACCTACATCATGGAAAGTCTCTCAAGTTATACCGTTACTAAAGCCAGGTAAATCACCCCTTACCATCCCTTCCTATCGACCCATTGCGCTTTCAAGTTGCATAGGCAAACTCATGGAACGTATGATCTTGGCGCGATTGGAATGGCATTTCGAACATCATGGTCTATATTCAAATGAATCGTCAGGCTTTCGACGCGGCCGGTCTTCAATAGACGGGTGATTGATTTAATTACATCGGTTGAACACGAAAAATCTCAACGACGAATGATCACAGCCGTATTCTTGGACATCAAGAGTGCCTTTGACTCTGTGATGCATGATGCTATACTTGACGCACTAGAAGAACTAGAAATAGGAGGGCGACTCTACAAGTGGATCTCCAGTTACTTAACTAACAGGGCATTTTTTGTTGCTACGGCACAAGAAAAACTACCCTTTATAATGTCACAGTGGGTGTAACACAGGGTGGCGTACTAAGTCCGACATTATTCATGATATACCTTAATGCTCTCAGAGTGGAACTTCCAGAAACAGTTCGATCATCGGTATATGCAGATGATATCTGCATATGGGCCTCCGGAGTTACCAGAGTACAGGTTAGAGCTCGTCTTCAAAAAGCATTGGGCACGATTGATGGATATCTTCTTCATCGCGGATTGACCATCTCTCCATCGAAATCAGCCGCCATAGCTTTTACTAGACGTTGCATGGATAAATACCCCCTCAAGGTATCCGGCCAGGACATTCCGTATGTAAAACACCACAGGCATATCGATCGATCGAGGACTGACATGGACGCCTCACATTATGCACCTTAGAAAAAAATTTACCAGCTTTATACACCTCATACGCTTTATATGTGGCACAACTTGGGGTGCGAAAGTAACATCAGCACTGCGTCTTTACAAAGCTTTATTTGAGGGTCTATTGAGGTACAGCCTGCCAGTCCTTCATGGGATGTGCGCCACGAATTTGAAGCGACTACAAAGTGTACAGGGCTCTGCTCTTCGTGCTTGCTTAGGTGGTCCGCACTCAACGTCGACTTTAGGTGTTATAGCAGAAGCTGGGTGCCTGTCCATTGAAGCACTTCGTGCAAAAGAAACACTACGTGTACACTTACGCCACCTAACAAGGCATGAATCCCACCACCTTGCCCGGATACAATCATCCAGGAAAGATTCAAGCTATGCTAAATTCTTGATACAGCAGGAGCCAAATATACCAAAGCAGTTTGAAACACCAAAGTTGGCGGATGTTCCACCTTGGACACTAACATGCCCTACAATATCACTCAATATAGATGGCATACAGAAAAAAGCGTCAACTGCACAAACTTTATTAAAGCAACTGACCCTCTCATTAATCAATATCAACCATCGGTTCAGAACTCACATTTACACTGACGGGTCAACAACTCATCAAAGCTCAGCTGCCGGAGTAGTTATACCCATGGAACAAGTCGTGCTTAAATTCAGACTAGACCACCGCACCTCATCAATTGTCTCGGAGCTGGTGGCCATTAGGGAAAGCTTGAAATATATAATACGCACCGAACCACGAGCATGGTCCGTTTTCACTGACTCAAAAGCTGCACTCCAGAGCATGCAGCACTATCTACGACGTGGAGCAAATGAACAGCTGAGATTCACCGCAGTCAGCCTCTGCCAACAGGCCCAACAGGCTGGCCACCAGATTCACTTCCAATGGATCCCGAGCCATTGTGGCGTCCCTGGTAATGAGGCCGCTGACCAAGCAGCAAAGAGCGGTCACGACAACATATCTAGCATTTCTGTTCCATATTCAAGAACTGACGCTGGTGCAACGGTTTTCTCGGTCGGAAAAAAGATAGGTGCGGCCCTCTGGGCAAGCCCTTCTCACCACTATCCACGACTTTATAATATAGATCCTGAACTTAAGTTCAGACCGCCCAGAAACCTTATAAGAAAGACTGAATCAGTACTTCACCGAATAAGGCTGGGCGTTGCATTTACATATAAATATCTCCACTGTATTGGGAAAAAACCTTCTGCAAACTGCTTGATATGTGAAGAAGTGGAGTCACTGGAACACCTGTTATGCACTTGCTCAATTTATGACGTGGAAAGGGAGGTGCTTACTGAAGAACTTTCCCAGCTGGACTCCCGACCGTTCTCACTCCAGAAGATCTTAGAAGCGTGGGAGAGCCCAGAAAAGCTGGCTGATGCGACAAAATACCTATTACGTTTCTTACGTGATACCCAACTTATTTGCCGTCTTTAAGGAGCAGATATAGAGCTCTACGTTATTTTGATGTGTTTTTATTAATTTCCTCTTCTCGCCCTTCTTTGGCATCCCCTATTCCCCCTCCCCAGCACAGAGAAACTAGTTAATGCAAACTGCATGGAGCGACCTCTATGTCTTTCTAAATAAACCTCTTCTTCTTCTTCTTCTTCTTCTTCTTCTTCTTCTTCTTCTTCTTCTTCTTCTTCTTCTTCTTCTTCTTCTTCTTCTTCTCTGCCACTGCAGGACTCGGTGTTACCACTTTGGTGGCTTGCTTGGAAAGCGTCGCCGACTGCATGGTGTGTTTACCTCGTCGTAAAAGTTAGGTTTTCGTTTGACGTCATAGAAGTGTCATGTTGTCGCCGGCTGCGATCCTGGCGGTGTCCCAGCAGCGGTGGTGGATGAGAGGCAGCCTGCAGCGGAGAGCTGTGGACAGTCAAGCTACAGCTTGACTCTCCACGGAGGCTCCAGCAGCCAGCAGGTGGTACTCCGTGACGGCAGCGACATTCGCGTTCGCTCGTATACGTTTAAACGGGACGTGCAGCCCCCAACCGCCAGGATCGCGTCATCTGATAACTTGACACGCCGGCCTCTCTGACGCCATTTGGCGCCACATTAGGACTACTTTCGATTTATTGGCGGGATAGAACGCTGAATATGCACCAGTCGAAGACGCGTTCCAGGTGCAGAACCTATAAGCCGCACCGGCACGAAACGCATATATTTTCTTAACCATCGGTACTTGTGTTTTCTGTTTTTTTTTAAATAGGTTTAAAATTATAAACTGCCCAATATTTAAGTTAGAACGACGCCGAGATCTGAATTTGGCCCGAGTGCTCGTTTTTGAACGCATATCCACATTGGTCACACACAGACATACACACGCAGAGGTATGTTTTCATATTTTCTTGCACGCGTAATTGCCAACCAACAACAACTATTATAGTTGTGAGTAGGGCTGACCGCTCATTAAGTACTTTTAAACAGTTAGTCAGTTATCGTTAATTCATTCATTAGTGGTTTAGGAGTTATAATGTGAAGGATGATAAAAATTATTAAAGCACTTTGAAAATATGAGGAATAACATTTATAAAACATGAGAAGCACAAGTCTTGCGATTTATATTTTTCTCCAATAAAGCACGTTATACGCTCAACCAATAGATATGTGTCTAGTACATGAAATGCCTATTGCGATGGGCACCGGTCAAATGCACACAACCTCACGGTTCAATGTTTTGAAGCGAGTTTTGTGAGCTTGAGTATTGCACGACAGTATTCGCGCGAGCGAAACATCGGCACTTTAGTGCATTTTATTCAGAAAAAAAATATATGTAGGTAGCAAATTTTACCCCTTTGGTATCAGTATCCTGAGAAAGTATTTCATACAACACAAGTACGTTTGATGACGAACTTTCGATTTTAAGAACAAACATATTCGCATTTTCAATGCCGCATAGTGTACGGTGCTCCAGAAACTTAACGCCGGCACTTGGTTACCCAAATATTGTTCTATTTCTAGCTTGGATCAAGAAGTCAGAACTTCACCACGTAGTTCTATCAATGAACTTCGGAATATTCCCAAACTTGACAAAAAGAGGAATCTGTAGCAGCGTTAAATCCAAGTTGGGGGGGGGCACGGTACAACCATTTAATTAAAACAACCCAGATTAGCTTAAACTTGGTGCCTCGAGGTTTCTTGAGGTTCCTCTTATTGCGTGACACAAGAAGATGATCCTCAAGGTTGCAGCAAGGCGTATCGTGCGTGGCATAATCAGGGTAGAAAAATAATAGCCTAAAGCATCCTTGACAAAACCCGTTCATTACAACAGAGGCATCGAGACAAGTTTTGATTGTATGCGCTATTTTGCAGACCAGCTATTTATATGCTGATTCGCATCAATGTGTACGTGATTGATATACCTGAATATCTTTGGCCAAGGTTACAATCAGCTGATGCGAAATACGAGTTGCCTGCTTTCTTTCTTTCAGGCTTCTTTTGTTTTTCGCGCTTTCTCATTGGATGAAGATCACGCACTCGTTCAATCCTTTGGTGTATATAAGCTCCAGATTTTGCATGCAAGTTCGCAGTTGAAGTCCTCTTCTGTAAACTTACACCATGACTGGAGTAAGTGCACCATTTTGAAAATACTTGACATTGAACTCGTTCACCTACTTTTATAAGTAATTGTAATAGGTTTTGCCTTTCCGCCTATGCTCATAGTGTCTATCGCAACTAAGGACCAGATGGCATTTGAACACGTGTTTAATTTGCTTGCTTCAAGTAACTATAGGCTACTTTACCTTTTACTGCAGAAGTAGAAGTTTTAATTTTTTTTTTTAGTTGTGGTCGTTCGGCTAGAACATTCTTGGCCTGGGTTAAAAAAAAAAAGTTTGATAACCTCTTATTCGACTGTTGAGCGCACAATTGATGGCGGTCTTGTTGACTACGCCTTTTTGTGTGGAACGTGTTGAGTTGCCAATTCAAGAATTTAAATCTAAGTTGAGAAAATACATTTTTTTACTTGAAGGACTTTAAAGCGAAGCCATCAAATATGGATATCATAGAGGTTCTAATGCTAAAATGTTTCGTTTATATATGATATTTTATTAAATATCTAATTAAACCTTTTTAATAAAACCAAACTTCCCACAACATATGTCGCAGAAATAGCTGTCAAATAGCAGTGTTTCGCGCCTGCCTATAAAATAACGTGATACTTATATTTGGCACCACACCACAAGTTTAACTTGCCAACTCACTTTGGTGGAGATGACCACTTGATCACAAACACTTGTGGCATCCATTTTACACATGACGCACTGATACATTAATCAGTTAAATGATGCGGCTTGATGCGAAGTGGAACGCTTTTTTTTTATGACTCCACAGAGACAGTTTAGTGCAAGCTTGACTAATTGCCGCAATAAAATATATAAGAAAAGAGAAAAAAATATATATATTCATTTGACCACAAAGCAGATTTGAAATTTCGAGCTACGTTCTCTTTCAGGATCCACACTGATTTTTGTTATTTTGAACTGGAACATTCGCATTGGCCAATATTTAAGCAAAACAGACCGTTTACTTAGCCGGCACTATTTTGCGTCATCAGTATAAGGTATAAAATACCCAGTAAAATAAAATATGCACTAATGTTTCTTTATGCAGTTCCGTGCTTGTCTTCTCCTGGCTCTGGCCAGCAGCGCCATCGCTGGCTTCGTCCAGGGCGGTCTTGGCTACGGCCACGGCCTCGGCTACTCTGGCCTCGGCTACTCTGGCCTTGGCTACTCTGGCCTTGGCTACTCCGGCCTTGGCTACTCCGGCCTTGGCTACGGCCATGGTCTTGGCTACGGCCACGTTGTTGGTCTTGGGAACGGCTACGGCTACTCTGGTTTGACCGGCTACAGTGTTGCAGCCCCAGCTAGCTACGCTGTTGCTGCCCCAGCCGTGAGCCGCACTGTGGCCACTTCCTACCACGCCGCTCCAGCCGTTGCTACCTACGCCGCTGCTCCAGCTGTCGCCTCCTACCACGCCGCTCCAGTTGCCACCTATGCGGCTGCTCCAGCTGTCACCAAGGTTGCCACCTACCAGACCGCTCCGGCTTTCGCCAGCTATGCTGCTGCCCCAGTTGCCACCTATGCTGCTGCTCCAGCCGTGACTAGGGTGTCCACCGTCCACGCTGCTCCAGCTGTCGCCACTTATGCCGCTGCTCCAGTTGCCACCTATGCCGCTGCTCCAGCTGTCACCAAGGTCGCTACCTACCAGACTGCTCCAGCTTTCGCCAGCTATGCTGCTGCCCCAGTTGCCACCTACGCTGCTGCTCCAGCCGTGACTAGGGTGTCCACCGTCCACGCTGCCCCAGCTGTCGCCACTTATGCCGCTGCTCCAGTTGCCACTTATGCCGCTGCTCCAGCTGTCACCAAGGTCGCTACCTACCAGACTGCTCCAGCTTTCGCCAGCTATGCTGCTGCTCCAGTTGCCACCTATGCCGCTGCTCCAGCCGTGACTAGGGTATCCACCGTCCACGCTGCTCCAGCTGTCGCCAGCTACCAGACTTACCACGCCGCTCCAGCTTTGGCTTCCTACGCCCACGCTGCCCCAGTCTACGGATATGGCGTTGGCTCCCTCGGCTACGGTGCCGGTCACTTCGGCTATGGACATGGGCTCGCCAGCTACGGTCTGAACTACGGGTACGGTCTTGGCTCCTATGGTGACTACACCACCCTCCTCCGCAAGAAGAAGTGTAAGTTTAAGAATATATATTTTCATAACCTGATTTCTTAAAATCAGAATGGAATCCTAAATATTAAATGCATTACTCCCCCCCCTTCCCCCTATTTTACAGAAACGCCGCAAAGAAGAGTTACCATCGTCGACGTCTGCCACTAGAAGTCTACCAAGAGGAGGCATGTCCGCTGCCTACTTTTGCTGTCGCCAAGAGAGCAATAAAAAGAATGAACCTTGATACTTTCACATCTGTTTTTTAAGTGTCGTGTTCTGTTCTATTTCAGGAGGGATCATTAAGATCTCCATCTAAAACGGTTGTTTTAGATGGAGACCTTAATGATCCCTCCTGAAATAGAAAGATGGTGATTTCCAAGTTAGTGACCTGTATGTAGTAAAGGGGGATAGGCTGTTCATGCTAGATTGTGTGCAACAGCAGCATCCCAATGCGGCAGGCACCCATTTCCTCCTTGAATTTGAAGTTTAGATGTTCGGTTCCATTTAAATAACTAGCATTTGTCATCACAATAGTATCCCAAAAGACCCGTTCCGATATCGCTGTTACAACCGTGAAATATTGTGTTCGTCCCTGATGGAGGGCACAGCAGGAAACACTGTTTACGAGAAGTGCCGCCCTTAGTATGTCGATCATAGAAGTATGGTTCAAAATTCTACGTGATCGGTAGAAACGGTTACATTTATTTGTGGCTCATTTGACGGTGCTTGACCTCCAATTACTGCCCATAACCTGTTCTTTCAAGTTTATTAGGTGGCTTATATTGTGTATAAAAACTCTAAGCAACACGTAATGTGAATGGCTTAATAGGCAAGGCCAGCAGTTCTCGCCAATCATGTTATATGATATTTATTGTACAGGTTGATGAAGCCGCATAATATGTTTGGCCGAAATATGATCATACCCGTACAAAAATGTCATATATGGCCCTGATGTATTTTATATACGGCCATGTATAATAATATAAGCAGTCAAAAATGGCCATATTCCGCCATATATGGGAGCGAATACGGCCATATTTCGCCATATAAGTCGGCACATACTACAATATGTGACCATATAAGAGCTTGAATAGGGCCATATATCGCAATATACACGTGACAATATACACCCTTTTCGTTTAGCCTCGCACCCAGCCACGTTGTCCCCTTATCCAGTATGCGTTCCGAAAAAACAACAGGAGATTACAACCCCGAACAAGTAAAAAAGTATAGAAGGGTCATGACAAGAACGACTGACGGTTGCAATTAAAATGTTAACACGTTCTACTGTCGAAGTGAGAAGAAAGCGATGCTTTCACGCAAACCGGAAGTTCCAGAATTAAATATGGCGGCGCCCACGTAGAAAAAGTGTATAGCTCCTGATGATGATATATGGGCCCGTTTCGGTGGTGCAAGCAACAAGTCATATGTACTCGCTAAGATACTAGTTGATTGATCTATATTGCATGAGCCTCATGTAATTGGTTAACTATTGTTAACATCCGTAAAGTGAAGTTATTCCAGGTATTTGGACCAATTAATCAATTGCGCATTTTGAAGACTGAAAGACAAATGCAATTTGGTTGTATGTTTGACGTGTGACAATATGACGAAGTGCGATCGGAAAGCGAGTTAATCAAATCATGGATTTTAGATCGCAGCTCTTAGGCACCCGTTTCCGAGCTAACCGGTGTCGGCGTCGCCATCGGTGTAACCGCCCCGCTAAATTTAGCGAGAAATTGAATTGGTGCGTATGTCACGTGACGTCAATTTTCCCGCTAAATCTAGCAGTAAAACTAATTTTGCTCATGTTTCCCCGCTAAATTGAGCGGGTAAACACGAACCGTTAGCTTACTGAAGATGCAAGACGCGACTTCGTCGTCCCGAATCCTTTTCCCTTCGAACGGCTGCAAAGCCGTTGCGACCGAAGTACAATACACAGCAGCCGCGTTTACATGAATGCGACTTAGTCGCATCGAATCCAGTTGTCGCATTCAATGCGATCATGTAAACGGCATAATGCGCAAAGAAAGCGCATCGCATTCAAGCCGCCAGACAGAGGTGGATTGAGAAGGCGAGTGCGCATTCATTCAGCCCGTGTAAACGGAGGTCGCATCGCATTTTGGAACGGGGAGGATTATGGGAAGGCGCTCGCAGCGGGAGCAGGCGGGAGCGAGTGAACAGCTGAGAACATGGCGGCGGCCAACCTCGTCGGCGACGCGGAGAGCGGTCCCGTATGGTCGCCCGCAATTTTTTCCCGAGAACAAACGCGAGCTTTTATTGCGATCATAAGTAAGCGGAATATAGCTGCTCGGTGAGGGCGGCCCCCGTCCAAGCCTTGCGAACTACGACTTGCGCGTCCGAAGGGATCCCAAAGGCTTCGGCGCAAGCACGAACGACACCGAGAGCTCCGAGCACTGTAGAGCACTGCATGGTAGCGCAGAACGAGCAGCTCCTACCTCGGTGCAGTTCCTGGCTGCGCATGAGCCTTTCGGACTCGGGGTCCGGTTGGTCCGGTCGCGATCGGCGAGGTCTGGCGCGGCGAAACGCGGAGGCTTCCTCAAAGCGTGCGCACACACGTCGCCTCTGGTCCAAAGTGACCCGGCGGACCGGCCTGGAGCCATAAACGTTTGGGTTTTGATGTTTCTTCCGTCTCGTAACTTTCTTCCACAGTACCCAAGACAGAGGGCACGATCTTTACGCCCACTGAATGCGTCGAAAAGCCTCCATGTGCGATGCACCGGAAAACGTGGTGCGGCTGGTTCCGGAAGTGCATAACTTCGAGCTTTGACACGTCGTGGCGCCACATTCGTGTAGGGCTTGGTGCGCATTCATGTAAACGTTGCCGCGACGGCTTCGTTCGAAGAACGAGTGGAGTCGACGCGATAAAGTCGCTTTCATGTAAACGAGGCTAGCATGTTTCAAAAACCGTTCGCGCAGCATCGCATCCGTTCGTTTGCGAGCGTCGGCGATTCATCGTCTGTTGAAAGTCGGAAGATGTGCTGTCCGTAGTATCTTTTACGTGTAGCTCTTTCGTAAAAAAATTTGAAATTGAAAAACGCGAAGCTCACAGTGTACACACAATTTTAAATTTATTGGTAAAAAATATATGTACATATTTATTTATCCATTTATTTGTGGACATCGTGCACAAAAAAATAGTCGCGTTTATTGTTTAATTTTAAATTATAATGTGGGTTATACAGCGTAAAACATAGTATCTTCAAACTCACATCGTTTTGGGTCACTTTCAAGCTGGACAAAATTTTTGGAAGTTCAAAAGCTGGTCTTCATAGAGCTGTATGTTCACTCGGTATTGACAGCAGGGTAGACGCTATGCGTCTTTTAGGCCAATCGTGTCTCCGGTTAGGGTCACGTGACTACAGTCTAGAAGCTGGTGATAAAGCAGGACATGGCACCTGCCTGGAGCCCAAGGCCCCACATAGCATTCACTGCACTGTCAAACTTGGGTTCAAGTGACCCATAAGATAAGCCTTTTGTTGTCCCATAGGATAAGCCTTTTGTTCGTGCACTCCCGTTTTGGCCTTTCCTTCTCTCTTTAAGCTGAAAGCGTGGTAGAAGGCACGTGGTCACGTGGTTTGACGGGTGACGCATTAGCCGTTGGCCATCTCGGAATGCGTTTAGCCCCGGACCTAGTTTGGAGTGTGAATTGCCCTGCGTGGCTGCTCCGGATGTCTGCTTCTGCAAGCGATTTCTTCAAAGAACCCTAACAATATTTTGTGATGCGTTTAGTGTTCGGTTCTACTTGTACTACATGCTGTAGCTTGTGCTACATCGTGTTGAATCTCCACAGACACGTTCTTTCCCGTTTTTGTGTTTGAGTGGCGGTTTTGCGTGGCCGTGTCGACATCTAAGTCGGATTACACCTTCCAAGTCCCGTCTCGTCAACGTAAGTGCGCTGCAACTTACTTCGCGACAATTGATCGTTTTCCTAAAGGTATTCCTCTAGATTACCTTTTGAATTAGACCGTGTCTATCTCCTGGGAGCCGGGAGAATAACTGTGCAGAATGTTTCGGCATTGGTGCGATTGCGCTACAAGCAGGAAGTTTCGATATGCCGCCGACAAAGTTTTGACCTGTCGCCAAAAAACAACAACAAAGACTCTTGATTACGCGTTTCAAAATTTTACTAGCGGCTTAACGAGTCGCGTGTAGAAAGATTGTTACGATTTTGCGAAATACTGGTAAATAACGCCAGGTTACCGTCATAATCTAAACCCTGAGATAAGGATAAATCAAATAACGGACAACTCTCATTGACTCAGGCTTTATATTATGATGTTTTCTAACCGGCTTGGGCCTACATACTTTCGCTCCTTGGAAAGGTTACCGTCTCGCGGGCGGCACCAACCGATCCCCTGACGGCGGCGACTCGGCGAGCTTGCATGCACACGGGGCCCGCCGCCGACCGATCGCTGTCTGGCGCGGGCTCGCGGCGCGCCAATCGCCAGTGCTCTGCCGGGAGCCCGAAGGTGCGCTCGAAGCGGGGAAACGGCGTTATGTAGCTAAAGGTAAAGGGCGTCTACACCACGAATGGGCAAAAGCCGATGCAAAGGCGTGCGCGAATGTAAACAACGGTAAAAAAGTGCAGTTGCTCGCCGCTATGAGATGCGTGCCGCTAACTCGGTCATCCGCGGACGTATCCCTCTCCTGCCGCTCAGGACACTCCGTTTCGCGGTTCATGCCGACGAAATGATCGCCGGGATACCG